GTTCATAAAATTCTCGTACTGGATGGGTTTCGTGATAGACTTGTTCTGCGCTTTCTTTGAGGGATCCACCTCGTGTTTGGCATCGCATTAAATATTTGAGGCTCCGAATCATGGCCGTCATCTCTAATGGGAGAAGACGGGATTCACGTAATGCGTCGGCGGAGCGACACCCATATGGGATACCTGCTATGGTTCGGCAAGCTTTGTTTTCTCCTGCATCTAGGAGTTTGCGTGATGTGGGGGCCGCATCCCAATACCAGACCTCAAAACCGTAGAGCGCCTGGGCTTGAACTAGTGTCAGGTAGAAGACGCGTAGGGTATCTCTTTTAGGTCCCCATGCGGTGGAGGAGATTGCTGCAAGTTGTAGTAATCGAAAATTCATGCGTTGTCTCGTTTGAACCACATGGGTAGACATGCCTCGGTAGTTTTGGAAAGTGATGCCTGGGAGTTTAGGTGCCTTCTCCGGACCTACAGGGATACCGCGTAGTTTAAGGGAAAGGGGATTCGGGTCTGATTATCCAAAAAGTGTGTATTGCGTCTTGCCCACGTTGACTTCCATAAAATAGTTTTTGGACCATTCATCCACCACGTTTAGTCCTTGTTGCAGTGTACTGTTGATGATGTCTCTGTTTACGTGTCGTGGTGCAAGTGTGATATCATCGGCGAAAAAACCAATGAAATAATAAGGGAACTTGGGACAATCGTTTGCTGAGGGTGTTCATTGCTATAATGAACATAAGTGGGCCTAGGTCCGTTCCTTGTGGCACACCGCGATGGAAGAGCATTAAAGGAGAAGATTTACGGTTTACGCGTACTTTAGCTTGGCGTCCTTTCAAGAAAGATGCTGACCATCGAATGATGTGCGGTGGGATATCCATCTCTCGCATCGCACTAACTATGCGATCATGGTCTACAGTATCAAAAGCTTTAGCATAATCTACGAATATTGCACCTGTACGCGATTCAAGGGTGGGTCGCGTGAGGGCTGCGCGTAGATGCAATAGTTGGCCTAATGTAGCGTGACCAGGTTTAAATCCAGATTATTGCGGGGTCAATTTCGTTTCAATAACATCTCCAATTCGGGCTGCAATGTTCCGCTCCATTAATTCGAACAGACAGCTAGTGAGGGTAACTGGTCTGAACGAATCTAGATCTGTCGCTTTCTTTCCCGGTTTAAGGAATGGTACGATGATGCCTACTTTCCAAGAGATTGGAACTTTGCCCGTGCGGAGGCTCTCGTTGAAGAGCGCGAGGGTCTCTGCTTTGGCTCGAGGTCCCAAGTGTTGAAGTGACTCGCCGTAGGCACCATCGGGGCCTGCGGCCGTCCCTTCAGGAAGGAGACGCTGTGCCCGTTCCAGTTCTGCTGCTTTAATCGGGATAAATTCCGTATCTGTGGCCGGAATGGGCGGTGGAGGGTAGGAATTAGGGTGACGTTGAGCTCTCCGTGAATATAAGCGGATAAAGTGCTTAGCTTTCTGGTTTTATGTGAGTACCGTATTATTAATCTTTATCGCCGGGGTACTGAGGGGGCGTGGGGCGTAAATCCCCTTCAAAATGTTCCAACAACAGCCGTCTGCCACGGCCATGTTATTGCAGAGGGTTTTCCATCTCTTATGGGAAGCTTGTCTTGGCATTTCTCTTCTGCGTGCTACCAGTCTGTCTCGGGAGACAGAGGGTTTACAATTGTGAATCTTCTCTTCGATTTCATCTAATTCTGGAGTCCAAAAAGAAGTAGTATCTCGACCCCCGCGGGAACCGCCGCAGCTGTTGCGATACGGATGGCGGAGGTCAGTAGTCGTTCTCTCTTGTGAACGCTAATTTTTTGTTCAGGTTGTTTGTTGTGCTGTGCGTTTGGCAGTTGACGAAAGCGAGACCATTTCGCTTTCTTCCATGCATAAATGGGTGCGCGAGGGCGAGGGAACCGCAGTGGTTCGTCATCACCATCTCCTACTGCTACGTCGAAGAGGATGATGTAATGGTCGCTGTCCGGTGAGAAGGATGCCGTCCAGGACTCTAGACGGCATTCTCAGGATATTGTCACATCTGGCGCGGACGGACCATGGCGTGTGGTGTGGGCGAGTGCAATCTCCAGTGTTGTGAATAACGTAGTCATTATCTAGGCACCATTGTACTAGCACATCGCCACGGGTATC